GGGGGTTTTGGGAGGTCCTTGGGGGGTCTTTGAGGGGGCTCAGGGGTCCCAGAGGGCTTGGGGGTACCTGATAGGGTCCCTGGGGTGATTTCAGGGGAGTGTGAGTGGTTTTGGGGGTCCCAGAGGGTTTGGGGGTACCTGATAGGGTCCCTAGGGGGGTTTTAGGGGGCCATGGTGGGGGTTGGAGGTCTCTCAAGGGGTCTCTGAGGGCTTTTGGGGGTCTCAGAGGGTTTGGGGGAACCTGGCAGGGTCTCTGGGGGGGGATTTTAAGGAGGATGAGGGGTTTTGGCAGTCTCTGAGGGTTTGGGGGTACCTGATAGGGTTCCTGGGGGGATTTTAGGGGAGTGTGAGGGGCTTTGGGGGTCCTTGAGGGGTTTTGGGGGTCCCTGAAGAGATCCTTGAGAGGATTTGGGGGCATCTCAGGAGGATTTGGGGGGGGTCTCTGAAGGCTTTGGCCTCTTGAAAAGGCTTTGGGGTTCCTTAGAAGAAACTCAAACTGTGTCCCCCCCAAAATTAGCTGGTGCGGACGACGGAGCTGGACCCCCGTCATAATTACATCTTCGGTTTCCACCCCCACGGGGTTTTGGCGGCTGGCGCCTTCGCCAACTTCTGCACCGAAGCAACGGGTTTTGGGGTGCTCTTCCCCGGGCTGCGCCCCCATTTGCTCACCCTTCCCTGTTGGTTTCGTCTACCCCTTTTCCGCGACTATATGATGTCCGGAGGTAAGTTTGGAGAGGTCTCTTCCTCCCAGAATTGGGGTGCTCCTTAGGGTGCTGAGCCTGGAGGGTCACCCAGCACCCTCAATTTTTGGGGGTGCACTCAGCAAATACCCAAGTCCCCCAGCACCCTAAATTTTGGGGGTGCACCCAGCCTGGATATCTGGGTCCGTCAGCATGCTAAATTTTGGGGTACGGCGGGGTTCCTCCCGTTGCAGGGTTGGTGTCATCGGAGAAGTCCAGCCTGGAGTACCTGCTGAGCCGGGAAGGTGGGGGGCAAGTGGCTGTCATTGCCCTGGGGGGGCCCCCTGAATCTTTGGATGCCCACCCTGGGGCTCTCACCCTCCAGCTGCTGGGGCGGAAGGGGTTTGTCCGCATCGCCTTGGAGCATGGGTGAGTTGGGGGG